GACCCAAAGGGGTCCAGCGCGAGGAGGCAAGTGCCCCGAGGACCTTGAGTCCTATTGGATCAGCTGATAGGATAGGATGGGTCTGAACTCTGGGGCCTTGGCCTCAGAGGGCAGGCAGTGGTCCCCTGCGCAGTCAGGGCATGGTGTGTGTGTGTGGGGGGGGGGGGGGGGCTTCTTTTTTTTTTTTTTTTTTTTGTGGTTCTCTCTGTTCTCTCCCTGTCCTGATTATAGAATACTAAGGAAACACTTTTTAATTAAAGAGTCAGGAGAACTATCTGGAGCAATGGATACCTTTGGTAGGTTTTGTTTTGTTGTTGTTGCTGCTGTTGTTGTTTTGTTCTTTTAATGACCAGAGTTAAGTGGGTAATAAACATGTCTTTAAACAAAATCTGCCCCTCTGTTGAATCAGGGTCTATTTTTTTTTTAAGGGAACAAAACAAAACAGTGTAAGGGTACAAGTAATACAGGACTTAAAAACACACACTTGCAGTTGTATAAATCAGGATCTATGGATCCATGTTTCATGAGTGCCTCTGATAAATGACCTAAGAAGTCAGAGCGGTTTTCACCTTTCTTTAGAGACGTACTTGACAATGTAAAATAACTAGAAGGCTTGGATTTTATCCTCCTCAGACCTTCAAGAATACACGTCTGGAAAAGTGTCTCTTGTTCTCATCTCTTACATTGTTGTCAGGCCACTCGGGGTCTTGGTTGGGAACCAACCAAGATTGTGCACCGTTGGGAATTGGTGGTTCCCCTGCCTCTCTGTCTTCTGGTCTTCTAAAGTGAACGGTATGATACTCATCTCTCATGTCCAAATGCAATAGCGACTTGTAACACTGCCTGTCTCTCACTAGAAGTCATTGACGTTCAGAGTGACATTGCATCTTCCCAGCCTAGCTTCTATGGATCTGAGCAAATCCTTGAAAGACATTGAGGTACTTATCAGGGTCACCTGAAGATTTTCCTAGCTGTAGATATAATTTGCTGTAAGTCGCCGAGATATATATATATATCGAGAGAGAGAGAGAGAGAGAGAGAGAGAGAGCACAACCACTGTAGCATGTGTCTTTATTTATACGCTTCCGAGAAGTACAACGTCAACCTCAACCCCACTTTGTAGCGATTTGTTTGCCGGGCTGGCCTGAGCCCCTTGGCCCTTTGCCTCCTTGGGGCTGCAGCAGCTTGTTCAGGTGGCTTGTTTTGGACTCTCTGTGTTTCCTGGGCAGGCAGGTGGGCAGGCGGGCAGGCACCAGGCACCAGGCAGGCAGGCAGGCAGGCAGGCAGGCAGGCAAACAGACCTCGCTTTAGCTGTCGTACCCCCCCCCCCCCCGGGTGATTGATCTATCTCCGGATTCAAAGGCTCCCTCCACCCTGCCTGCACGCGCACTCACTCGCCTACTCCTTTCCGCGGTCCCCCCTCCCCCCTTGGAGGCCAGGGGACCCCGCCGATTGGGCCCCTTAGGGTGATTTTGAACATCCTGCTCTTCCAGCTCAGAGACCTCTGGTGATCTCGCTGGTGTTTGAGGTCGTTGTGGGGCTCCACCTGGTGGTGGCTTTGCTATGATGTCGCGCTCGTAGTCAGCAGCTGGAGCGCAAAGGGCTGACGTGTGGCCTTGGCGACGGGGACAGAGTCCCAGGAGGTCCGCCTGCTAGGCGAGACTGCAGCGGTCGTGCCTGAGCTGAGCCGGCGGGCGCGCTGTGCGGAGATTGGATCGGCAGGGCTATGTGAGAGGTGACTGTTGCCGCCTTTCCGCGGCCGGTCGCGGCTAGCCGGGGGGTGTGTGGGTGACCCGAGCCGGTCGACCAGCACACCCTCCTGCTTCTCGGCGGCCCTCCGGCCGGCCACCGAGACGCAAGGAGGGAAGAGATGTGTTCCCTCCATCCCGGCAGGCAGCCGGCTGGGCCGGCTCGTGGAAGGGAGTGTGTGGCCAGCTTGGCCGGGTCACCGGTGCCTGTGTTCCTCTTTGCTCTTCTCCGGACTCCTTGCGGGGTCCCCGCCTTGTCCTGGCTGCAGCGCGAGGGGCCGTGCAGGGCTGTTGGGCTTTGCCCCCGGTGGTTGGAAGTCTGGATCTGGATCGTTGTGATTCCCCAAGTGTGAGCTCGCGAGCTCGCGGACTGGCCGGGGCCGGGGCCGGGGCCGGGGCCGGGGCCGGGGCCGGGGCCGGGGCCGGGACCACCCGCCCGTGGAGGTTGTCGGGGCCTCGGCCTCGAGCCCGAGTGGGTCCTGGTGTTTGGAGGGGCGGGCGGGGACCTACCTGTCTCAGTCAGCGACTAAGTCCGAGTTAGGCTCGAGGATCGGCGGGGTTCGCCCGCCCGGGGAGGGTGCCCGGCCTCCGGGCCCCAGTGGGGACCCAGTGGACCCCAGTGGCCATAGGGCTCGGCCCATTGCCCGTTTCCCCAAGGAAGGCCCAGGTGAGAGGGTCTCGTGCTGTCCCCCGCGCCAGCAGGTGGCTCGGGGAGGGCGCTGATGGAGGGCTGGCTTGGTCCAGCGTCCCTGCGCCCTGTCCCGCCCCCCCACCCCCCCCCCCGCGGTCGACCAGTTGGCCCTGGGTGCTCCGCCGTCTGCAGCATTGGGGTCGTCTGAGGGGCCAGGTCCCCGGCGCCTTGCTTTGGAGGGCGGGTGTGATCAGGGGATTGTCCCCTCTGTCATGTGTCACAGATCTTTTGGCTAGAGGTGGGCGTTTTGTGTCTGCAGGTATATGCTGACACGCTGTCTTTCGGTGGTTGCCGCTGCTGCAAAGACGAGGGGATTTGGGCTCCCGGATGGCGAGTTGGGGCTCTGGGTTTGCTGGCCGTCCCGTGGTACTTGGAACCCTGCTTCTCTCGCCCCTGAGCTGTCCGCCCTGGGGCCCGTGCGCCGGCTCTTGGACATCCGAGTGTGGCCTCCCCTGACTCGGTGCCGCCTCCGGTCTCTAGCACCCGAGGGTGGCGGGGATGGCGGCAGGGGCCCTCTGCCCCTGTGTGCTCCTCGTCGCGGGCACCGAGTGCGGTCTGAGACGACCCTCGAGTGTGGCTCCGTGCCTTTCTGCGTGTCAGGCGTTCCCCTGGGTCGTTGTCGGCCGCTGGCGGTGTTGGGGGTTGTGGCACTGGCGAGGCTGAAAGCGGGCTCTTCTCTGACTGTCCTTGCCAGGCCTACCCTCCCCGCGGTCCTGTCTCTTCCCCTCCCCTTTCATTGTGACCGATGTGGTGAATGAGCGCTCTCCTGGGCCGGGCCTAAGCCGCGCCAGGCGAGGGACGGACATTCATGGCGAATGGGACCGCTCTTCTCGTTCTGCCTGCGGGCCCCTCGTCTCTCTACCCCGCCTCTCGGTGGTGCGTGGAAGGCAGGGGTGCGGAATCCGGCCCGACCTCGCTTCCCCTCCCGCTCGCCCTTGTGGTGTTGTCGCCCGGGGGCGGGTGGGTCGTGGTCGCTTGACGCGATGGAACTCTCCTCGCTTGCCCCTTCGGGGGGCGTCTGCGGCGTGGGTGGAGTCCTCCCCCACGGTGGGGAGAGGGGCTCGCCCCGCCACTACGCTGCGCGCCGCGCCCTACGGCACGCGAGCGTGCCTCGGCCTCCTGCGGTGCTCCTGGAGCGTTCCCGGCTTGTCTGTCCAGGTGCACGAGGCTGAGGGTCGGTGCCGTACCCGTGTCCCGGTGCCTCTGTTCTGAGCCGCCTGCCGTCGTTGGCGTGCTAAACCTCGCTTTGGGGGTTTTTCTGGCTGTGCCGGGAAACCGCCCGGGGATCGAGTCGGTAGGGAAGAGGAGGCTCTTGCGCCTCATGCACCCTCCCCCCCGCCCTGGGGGAGGGGTGTTGGGCGTGTGGGTTTCCCTCCCCCCCCCAGCGGCGTCCTCTCGTTCGTCCCGGCGCGATGAGAGGAGGTGTGGGTGAGATCGCCTGCTGGGGGTGGGGCTGAGCGCGCGCCCGCGTGTGTTTACCTCCTCTGGGGGGCCCCCGCGGGCGTGTGAGCGATCGTGGTTGGGCCGGCCTGCCGTCTGCCTTTCCTCTCCTCTCTTTGCGGGAGGTTTGAGGGCCGTTCTGCCGTTGCCGCCCGGCACGGCCAGACGCTGGATTGTGGGGGAGCCCGGCCCGTGGTGGCGGGTGGCGGGCTCCCCTGCCGGCCCCGGCCGCGTACGCTCGAGACGCTTGTTGTGCCCGACCCTCTGCCTGTACCGCAGATCCCCCCCAAGCCTGGCTTTGTCTCCTCGACGGTTTCCCTTCGCGCTCCGACGGGGGTCCGCTCGGGGCCGGGTGCGGCCCGCCCTCAGTGAGAAGAGTCTTCTCTAGCGATCCGAGAGAAGGGTGTGCCTCGTGACGGTGGCCACCCGCGTTTGTCTCCTTTCTCAGCCTCGCGCGGTAGCCGCCGACGTCGCTGCGTCGTAGCTGTCGGTCGGTGCGTGTCTGGGCGAGAGCTGCCCTCCTTCCCCAAGCTCTGCCGTGGTGGGGTGGAAGGAGGGGTCCGCCGGTCCCCGCGGTGGGGGTCGTGCGCCCGCTCTTTGCCTCTGGCTGTGGCCCGCGCCTCCCCCCTCCGAGTCGGGGGAGGGTCCCGCTGGGCCCGGGGCCGGCGCCCGGTGCGTGTGTTGTGAGGAGGGGGGACGGTTCGCCGCGCGTGAGCGCGCGCGCGTGTGGCTTCGTCCCCCCCGCCGGTGGAGGCGAACCCCGTGTGTGTGGAGGGTGCGCGGGGCCCGTTCCCCCGGACCCTCCCTCCCCGTGCCCGCCGTGAGCTTGGATACCCGCGTCCGCCTCACTCTTGTCGTCGTCCGGTCCCCGTTGCCGCGTCCGGCGGCGACGGCGGTGCCTGTGTGGGCACGGGGCCGGTCCGCCTCGCCTCCCCTCCCTCCCCGCCGCGGGAGCGTTCCGTCGGTGTTGCCGGTCCTCTGACTCGGGTTGACGGTCGGTGCCCGTGCGGTCGGGTGGCTGTGAGGCGGTGGGAGGCCGTCTTGGCGTGCTCGGATGTCTCTCCCGTGGCTGTGAAAGGAGTCGTGCGGGCGTGCCACTCCCCGCCGGTGGCGTGAGGTTG